TTGAAAATCACATGTCTGCCCTGTGCTCAGAAAGGAGAATGTTTGCTGCTGTAGGTCTTATATTTACACAAAGCTTTTTGAGTTAAAACAGGATAAAGAAAAAAGGGTTGATGTTGTAGTGCAGCTGTTTAGCCATGAAACAGTGGAATGTCTGGAGCTGTGAATAGATGGCCAAGCTAACATCAGTAGTAAATTGAATGAATGAATGAATAAATGAGACAATTTTTACCTTTTGTAAAAACTCAAACGTCAGGTCAAGAGTGATGCAAATGCATTTCCAACAAGAACACTACAAAAAATGTGCCAAAATAATCAAATCAACACAATTCATAAATGACTGGCAAAAACATTTACCAGATAAAACTGAAGAAATCAGAACAAATGAAAATGAAATGATCCATCTTACCTTCTCTTCAAGGCTTTTGAGACAAACTTAGCAAAACTTAACACAAACTGTAAACATTAAACGACCTGTAAACCAGAATATTTGTCAAGTCGTTTCAAAAATCTGAGACATTTCAAGAATTGTTTCTTGAAAAATGACTGAAAGGATTGATTAATTATCAGCAACTATCAGTTCTACTTTGAGTAGTACAAAAGAAAATAACTTTTCACTTTTTCTAAATCACACCGCTCATACAAGCTGTTGTCAGGAGGAAAATCTGTTCTCAACTGTGCAGCCAAAGATGTTTTCCCTTCTTGATAAGCAAGATGTAACATATGATTCGGGACAACACACTTGTTCCATATACAGTACAGTACGTCGTCTTTTGGCTGATAAAGGTGTGTGGCCGGTTGACAGATTTATGACTCCGTTTTCCTTATTTGGATGAACTATTCCTTTAAACAGCTGAAGGGCAGATCCTCACATCCACCTCTCCTCTGACTCAAACACAATAATTCATCAATGGGAAATCAGTGATGAAATGTAACAGAAAACTGTCAGCTCAGCGTCTCAGCAGGAGTGTCTTCACCCCTGTGAACCAGTTCTGACTGGTTCACTTCTACACTGTTATTATATTTATGTGTGTTTTTATAGTTGTGGTCTCACTGCTGTCACATTTCACAGTCTGGTTGTTTTTGTGGGCTTTAATGGAGCCAACAGTGCACGTCCTCCCTTCATTAGATGTCATAGGTTTTTAACACAGATATTTGTTCCACTTCTTCGCTTGACTTTGTGCTGCATAAATACAGCTGTTGTTGTTTTCTTTGTGTTTGAATGAGAGCTGACAAGTTAATGTCTCGTTTTTTATGACCCAGTGGCTTGAATTAGACTGAACTATTTAAAATCTCATCCTTAATGAATCTGGGGTTCAGATGATCTGACAGTCACATGGAGAGAATCGATTTTATTTCTTGTTGGTGGTTGATAGATGTGTTTGGGTAATGATGAGAGACAGAAATGAAAGATTTTCCTATTTAAAAAATTGGAGTAGGGACAAATCCTTTAGTATTTTAGTATTTTTAAATGGTTGCTGAATGGCACTTTTAGAAAGAAGCTATTGCTTGTTGATTTTGACCCTGAAACCAGATTGTTTTAAGCTGCTGAAACTTTTTTCTACCATAAAACTTCTTCCACTCTTGTGAATAAGAGCAAGAGTAAGAGTCTACAGTGATGCTCTCTTCTGTGCTTTGAGCCACATGCTAACGTTTGATATTCAGCAGTTATAATATTTAACATGTTCACCATCTTAGTCTGTCCTGTTTACATGCTAACATTTGTTTAATACTGAACATAAACTACAGGTGAGCCAGGTGGAAATGTCACTAGTTTGGTCATAAACCAAAGTATTAGACAAACTTAAACGTTGACTTGATGAAAGACCACCATCATGTAAATATAATACATCCTCTGGGGACATTGAAGGTGTGTACCAAATTTAACAGAAAGAGTTGTTGGGATATGTCGGTCTGGACCGGAGTGGTTAATCCATAGACTGAAAGTATGGCACCACCTGTCTCTGTCAATAACAGCAAAGTCTTTTGGGTCAAGTTGTCTTTATAAAGAAACACACAGTAAACTGAGCTGCAGAGTGCTGATAAGGAACGATGGCAGCAGGAAAATCTCTGACCTGTTCAGTCACAGACTCCTGTGTATGTGATCACAGAGGTGTGTCAGCACTGAGCTGATTACAGCAGATGAACAGTGAATGTCTCTCGTGTACCAACTAATCCGATGCTTCACTTGTTCCACTTCTGTCCAGCTCCTGCTGGGACGGGGTCAGGGTTAGGGTTAGTTACTCAGCACTTACTCAGAACTGATCTGTTATCTACAACCAGTTGGTTTCATTTAACGGTCGTTTCAAAAGTATTCCAATGATGAGATTTCAACAAGAAGCAGGTTCTTACCACATGTTGTAATGTATGAATTTAGATACTCCTGACATCCAACAAATTTTGACTTTTCCACCAAATTTATCTCAGTTTTAAACTAGAGGTATTGTCTGAATGTGTTTTAGCCTGTAGATCACCGAATCAGTGCTTACTGGGAAGTTTGTGTGGGAGAGGTTATGTTTCCAGCATTATGGTTCATCTAGAAAATGAAACTTTGTGCAAACTGTGAAGTGAGTTTGTTAAAGCAACAAAAGGACTTGAAATGTAAATTAAAGCTTTATTATATTTGGTATAGATGTCTATTTGTCTTTATTTATGTAACCTTTCTCTTTTCATTTTTTTATGTAAGATAATTTATCCAACTTTGTGATAATATGATATACATATATAAATATATATATAGTATATATATATATATACTGTATATATAATATGATCACCTACTTTGGCAGAGTGATGCCTGCCATGAAAAAACTGATTACTCCAGTCAGGGTTTTCTTATGTTAAGTATTTCATTATTATTACACTGTTTGTTTTTTTATGCGAGTTAGACTAATACACAAGTAGCCCTATTTCTAACAAAAGTTTTGCTACATGAACAATTTTTTTCTTCATAGCAAAATTCAAAGAAGGAAAAATGCTGGTAGCTGGTAATGATAGCATGTCCCCACGGTGGCTAACATCATACATGAGAAACACTGTGCGGCTCTACATGCTGTAATATGGAGACTCCACCAAAAATGATGAAACCTATGACACTATGTTGTTTCCAAATAACTCCCTGTGAAGCAGCTGCAAAATATAAGAAGGACATATTAGCTCCATCTAATGTAGAACTACTGTAGTATGAGTCAAAGACAGTCTGACTCATCTGAGACTCAATCAGAGAAATGATCCTTTTTCTGTACTCGCCTCACGTTTATCTCTGTGAAGCCCACCCATGAGTAGTGACCCAAACCTGTGTGAACGTTCACAGGACTACAGATCTCACTGCGGTGATGATGTGATGGAGACGAGACTATTTTGGTTGAAAACTTTGAAAACTGGTTTTATTTTAGCAAAGTACAAAAGTGAGCTGTGAGCCCCTTTCAAAAACAATCACAGAACTAAAAATAAATTCTGAAAATCTCTGATATAGATCTGAGCTGTAACATTAATCACTAGACACTAACGGTGCTGTTGTTGACAGTAGTCTGATACTGGTTGGATTAAAACTTTCTTCAGATCCTCAGAATCCAAACCCACTGGAGAATACAGATGAGTCTACGCCTCAGTCTGTATGATAATGAAAAAGGTGAAGTCTTATTTGATGAATATGATCAGTTTCAACAGTGTCAGGATCCACACTGTCCCTCACATGACGGTCCACACATTCTTCAGTGCATCTCCTCAGTAAATACGAGGCGGGCCTGTGAACTGAGGGTCATAAGATGAACATCACACGGTGATTTTTTACACTCAAAGCTCTGTTTTTTGGTTTTTAACAATAGTGAGCATACATTCACCTACACAGCATTCAGACACACTTCAAGTCACAAGATCTGAAAATTACGTAAGAATGAAAAACTGAATTCATGATTAAATAACGGTTAAGTAATCAGTTGGCTTTATAGAAACTTTAGACCAGATTTTTAAGACAAAATTCAACCTCATTCTACTAAAGCAAGTGATTGTACTTTCTTAAATTAAACTCTCTTTTTCTTTTTTTAGATTTTAAGTCCTCATCATAAAGTCAGCTTTTCCTCACCAGCTTTTGTCAGGGCCAGGATCGCCTTCTTAAAGTGCTCAGAATCCCATTCTGTTCCTAAACCCCTGAGGTTTCTCTCTCTCAACATTTATGTTTAAAGACTTAAATACCAAAGGGACATTTAGGATGGTGATGGGATCACGAGATCACAGAGCCCTGAGGCTTGACCCGCAAGTCATCCCATAATTCACAGTGCTTGTCCCGGGAAAGAGACTTTAAGATTTTTCGCTGATAACAGGACGCAGCGTCGTGAAGGCAGAAGTGTTTAAAACCAACCATTTCCATGCAGTAATTTGTGTTTCCACTAACGATGCTGAGGGGTCTTGGGGAATGCGTGACCAATTTTCTGGACTGATTCACTGACTGACTCACTGTAAGAGCAGCCTCAACACCCACAAGTCCTCCAGTCATATTGTCACATAGTTTGGGGCGGGCAGACCCCTCTCAGCAAACACTGGCGATTCTTGGAGTGTTTTCCATCATCATGTCCTCTGGCTCACTGAAAAGGAGGTTGTAAATCTCCCCCTGCCTTCATTCCTCTCTCCCCCAGCTCCTGCCTCCTCCCTTCCCCTTCACCCAATCCATCTCCCCTTGTTTTCCCTCCCTCCGCCTTCAGCTCTTTCTGACTCCTTTTTCTCTCTGGTTTCTCCTCACAGATCTCCAGTGTTTTGATGTCACATTCCTGAAGTGTGTGAAGAATTCAGAGGACTAACCCGACAGCCGACAGAGATCGTCTTCTTCATCCTTTCATCCCCCTTGGCTGAAGAGGGATAAACAGGAGAGTGTGTATGTTTTGAAGCGAGGAGGGCCCAGTGTCCGCCTAGATATGGCTTTTCTGTGTATGAGAAAAAGACAGAGGGTGCTGATCTGAGGTCAAGGCCTTCCTCCTCTCCCCCCCTTCACCCCCCCACCCCCCACCCCCCGAGTCACATGTCAGTGTGAGGCACAACCCCCAGAGTTGCTGTTGCTACACTGACCGACCTAAATACTTGTATACTCACACGGAGAAGCAACACAGACTGGATCCCTTAGCTGGAAGTGGAGAGAGCCAGGGGAACTTCTTACCCAGTGAGTTTGCTTTGTGAGCTGCTGTGTTTGCTTTTGGTCACATTTCTCCTGCTGGTTTGACTCACCCTGAGAAACTGACTGCTACTCAAACCCACAGAGGTGCCTGTCCTGGCCAGACCTGAGGAGCCTGACCTCTCCTCTCAGATACAGAGAAGCACACAGAGTTTTTCTCAGGAGCAAAATGCCGGCAAAGACGCCAATATACTTAAAAACTACAACTCCCAAGAAGGGAAAGAAGCTGAAGCTACGTGACGTCCTCTCAGGTGACATGATCAGCCCCCCGCTGGGCGACGTACGTCACAGTGCCCATGTGGGTCCCGAAGGGGAGGGCGACATGTTTGGAGACGTGGGTTTCCTCCAGGGTAAGATGGACATGCTGCCGTCCCTGAGCCGGACACAAAACGGTCACGCACGCTCGCAAAGCGTGGAGAGACGCCTGGACGAGGGCTTCACTGCCAAACAGGACTCACACAACTACGCCTACAACGGTTACCACTATCAGCACTCCTCCACCGGCCTGCTGAAGACCACCATCTCCATGCCTGTGTTCATCGCCCACGAACAGGCTCCACCCAAACCCCCACGCCTCCACCTGGACGACCCCTCCCCTCCCTCTCTGCCCTCTCAGCAAAACTACTTCCACCAGCAGCAGCAGCAGCAGCAGCAGCAGCAGCAGCCGTATACAGAGACAAGCCACAAACAGTCCAACGGCCACAGTCACACAGACAACCACAGCCAGCAGCACCCGACTCTGTCGCTCTGTGAGAACGGCGTGGTGGGCCGCTTGGCGTCAGAGCCCTGCCGTGACATCTCCCTCTCCCCCGCCATCCGCAGGCTCGTCCCCTCCTCCGGCTCCTTCTCAGAGGTCTCCTCTGAGGACTCCATGTCAGAAACCTGCGGGCCCCTGGACGTTCGCCGGGGCCTCAGTCTGGACTCTGACGCTGGTCTGAGCAACGAGGATCTGAGGAGTGAACGCAGCGAGTCTCCCTGTGCGGCCTTTCACCCGGCCGGTCTCACAGCCTCATCCAGTGTGTCACGGTCAGAGTCTATGGTAGGGTTAGACCTAGATCTGGGTCCATCCATCCTGGAGGATGTCCTGAATATCATGGACCGCTACAAGACTGTGGACAACCGCTGTGAGCTGTGAATGGAAAGATTAATGTGATGTACAGATATTTTTATATATGGTTTAATATATCCTTAAAACTTTGAAGAGACTTTGAGGAGGAAAAGGGATGGAGGAATGGAAAATGTAGGTGGAGAAATGTCTTCTTGGAGAAGAATGACAGCTGAGTTTAAAGGTAATGAAAGACTTACTGAGCTGAGAGGCATGTGGACATTATTGTTAAGTGCTGGGACGTCGCTGCCTGAGATGACAACAGCCGAGGCAACAGGCTGGTCCTTAGGAGCCTTTCTCAAAGCTGAACCTCAGACTCATAAACATTCAGACCGTGAGATGACAATGAGCAGATCTGCAGTCATGTAGTTATCATGAACCTTGGCAACACACCCCCCTTCTCCGGACAAAATATCAGCCACTATCCATAATATATTGTCTGTTCATGTTTCTGCTTGTTAATGGCCAACTGACTCAGATATAAATGTCTCAACTGACCTGGGAAAATGGGAGAAATCACCAGCTGTGAACAATATTCAGTAGCAGCAGGACTCACTTAACCATGGTGGAAACCATAGCTACTAATAGGTCTTTTTTTTTTTTTTTTTTTTTTTTTTTTTACAATTTAGGATGTGCATTTCTGCAGTAGAGATCAGATTACACACACTCAGTCATAAATAGTTCCATGCTGTAGCTCACACTCTGTCCTAACTCATTTGGCTGCGTAAAATATCATTTTCAGGACTGAATATTAATATCTTCACTCTTTTACTGTAATGCTTCAATGCCAGATTAAATGTGAAGAACTGCTCATTTTACTGTGCTTCTGTAACAGATGAAGATATAAGCTTAAACGGTCTCTACCTGTCCTCTAGTGTTACTTTTGAGAACAGCAGCTCCGACTTCTCAGTGGCAGATTTCTTTCTTTTGATAAGAGGGAAACGGAGGAAGTTTATTCTTGTAGTTTAACTAATAAAATGCAAAATGCTTTTAAAGTGTAAGGAAATGCTGCTTTGTAAATCATTTTCAGATATTGGTCTTTTTAAAACACTCATCTTCCATGTTGTGGCTCACTGTCAGCCTCCCTAATATTCCCTGTCTGCATTATCACAGTAGCCTATTATTCAAATTTCATTTATGCTGTATATATCACTGTACATGTATGAATAAAAGGTTCCTATAAAAAAAAAATGCTTTGGATTCATGGACAAATCTTCACACACAAACATAAACACAAACATAAACATGGGAGCTGCAAATTGAGATTTCAAAACAAACGAGCTGTGTTTGTATATTCATCTACATCAAGATCCAGACACCAAACATTATGTCTATGCTGGAATATTGTGAGTAAACACGATTTTGTCTAAGGATATCCACCATGTAAGCATAGCAGCGAATGAAATATTAAATCTATTAAAACTAGATTTTGACAAGAGATTCCTGTATAAGAGAGAGCCTCATGCTTGTTAACCTGTTCTGAATATCTTTACCAGAAGCATTCATGTGTCTTTATAGCTGCTTTAACAGCTCTCAGTGGTTTACATTTACATTTGTTGATTTGGCAGATGCTTTTGTCCAGATGTTATAGTGTGTAACTACACCTTTGTTTCTCTTGCAAGTTTTTTTGCCAGAATTTAGTGCTCTACATGTACGCCTTAACGCTGGATAGAGGTGACGCCTGATGGTTTTAAATTTCAAATGTTTTAATTAGAGGCACAATTGCTGTGACGTTGTATCACAGGAGTATCTGCTTTGTTGCTTGTGGAGTGTAGTTGTAGTTACTCACTGTGACCACTGGAGCGCAGTAAACACTAAAGATTATCAATATGGTCTGCATTACATAGTGAAGGCAGAGACTGTATAGAGGGTCTTTGGTGAAAGGCTTCATGTTGTCCACTACAGTGTTCGTTAGTACAGTATGAATATCCACAGAAGAATACTGTATTCTAAATGTGCCTACTATAAAACAATTAACATGTTCCTTTCATAATGAGTACATTTGTTTCTAATCAGTTTTGGTCAGGAAAGTATCCTCCATATCTCCTCCAGTCTGCCCTGAAGCGAGATGAAGATGATGACAGGTGACTTGGAAACAATCTTATATAATCTCCTTTTTAACTGCTTTGAATTGAGTCTAACATATTTTTGAAAGGGTTCACCAGAAGCTGTAGAATACTGTAATGTCTGCATTAACACAGTCTTTACTAATTCAATGAGTTGAAATTCTATGTTTTGAAAACCTAGAGGGCCGTAACCAGTTGTGATAGAGTCACGACTGTTCACTATTCTCTGGTGCTACATTACGCAAGTACAAACTAGTGATAAAAATGAAAGCTGTTCGAAAATTAGTATGAAACTAGCATTAAATTACCATATCAGTTTAAAATACAGATACAGTGCAGTAACCCCCTCACACAGTAAGTTCACACCAATATGTTAGCAAGGCTACCAAAAAGTAGCCTACTGCAGGGGTGGATCTACAGGGGGGCGAGGGGGGTCAGCTGTGAAATCGCTCGCTCGTGATTTATAGGAGCATTTTTGCCCTTTGATTACTTTTGATTTTAGTAAAGACAAGAAGAGTTTGATACAAAATAATAAAAACTGGCATGTTTGAATCCATAACGTTTAACAGAGGGTCGCCGTTTCAGGGGCGTTAAATTACAACTGACAGTGACCATACTAAGAGAGCAAATTAAACCAGGTTACATCCTTCACTGTCAAACTGGGAAAATAACAAGTACAATGGGACTATAGTCTACACATAACTGCTTGTGTGCATGTGATAAATCTTTTCTGATTTTATATTTGGTATACTTATTAGCTAACAAACATACAAGGATTTTAACCAGAGCTTTCACATCTTGACCCTTGCAGGCCAGAGTAGCCGGAGTGATTAAAAATGAAAAGGAAATGTAAAAGTGGGGATATTGCCAGTTTTTTTGGCAAGAAAATGCTGAGGACTGAACAGGAGGAAGAGAAGGAGAGAAACGAAGAAAGGAGGAGAAGACAGTATGCTGATTAGAGCAGGAGGGTCAGAGCAGGAGGAGGAGGCCTCAGAACGGGTAGATTAGGAAATAAGTGAAGGAGAAGAGGAAAAAGAAGAAATAAATGTGAGGGATGAAGATGAGGATTCAGATTCAGAAAAAGGGACAGAGGCAGGGAGTGATGAGGAGGCAGATGATGATGACGTTTTCATGTTGTGGCTCACCTGGTGGAGCGTGTGCAATCAGGGCTTGGATCCTGGGTTCAGGTCTGACCTATGGCCCTTTGCTGCATGTCTCCCCGTCCCCCCCCCCCCCCCTCTCCCTGACTTTCCTGTCTCTCTCTCACTGTCAGCATTGAAACAAAGGGAAAAATGCCCCTTAAAATAAAGAAATCAAAACACCACAAGGGTGTTTAAGAAGCGTGTGGGTTGTACCAGGCATCAACAAATGTCACCAGACGTTTTGTCATTGACCTGTGGTTTTCACAGCCAGTAAATTTGAACTGTAAACACCCAAACAGTAAAGAAGAAGGGCAGACCACAGTAGCCAAGCACTGATCTCCTTTGCCAAAGCCGGTCATATTCCAGCTGGAACTGGATGTCACTTGGTGCGGGACAGTGGACAGGCCTATTGAAGTGGCTATTTGTCTTTCAAACAAAATTGAGTCTAACATAAAAATCAAAAGGCCACTGATGCACCATGGGGATGTGGTTCACACAGGCAAAAGAATATATTGTCCAAACAAAGCCATTGCGTTTTATTTTTGATTTATCCAAACGAGCAGCAAACCAAGGAACAAAGGGATCATGTTTCGTGCTGCCTCTCCTGCTCTGGTGTAAAATCATAGGCCCACCCAGATGCATGCTGGTCCTAAGCCAGTCTACCTACCTAAATAACCTCATGTGCCCATGCATTATCCAACATAAAGAAAATAGTAATTAACCAAACTAACTATGCTAGATAAGAAAAATGATATAAAGAATCTAATGACTAACAAAAATATTATCAAAAAATAAAAATGAACATGTCATGTCAATAATTTCATTTCTTGAACATAAATAACTAGATAAGCTGTAAGATAAAGATAAGCAAACATATAATGCAGAATTAAAAATGATTAAAAATCAAAAAATGTGCAGTTGTAGTTTGACTTTGTTGAGAGACACAAACAGAAGCAGGTTTAGTGAAAAGTCAGTGTTTTTTGGAGAGTTTCTAGAAACCAGATGACTTTAACTGTGTTACTTACTGTGGCCATTTAACTGGTTAACTTCAACAATGTTTTTATCTGCTCGGATCAGAAAGTTGAACAATTCTATTATTCAGTGTGCATTTTCTCATCTCCAAGATACTGCAAGATATTCATTTGTTATTTATGATGAATTAAAGATGAAAAATGATTGAGTGTGTTTCCTGAAAATATGGGCCTCGTTCCTGTTGAGTTTACATATTATAAGAAAACATTGTGTGGGAGTGGAGGTCTTCATACAACGCTGAAAGGAAAACTTTTGATTAGAGCTTGTCAGATGGAAGAGGTGTTGCGTTTCCGGTTGAATCTTTATTCCTCCAAAATGAGGACCACCGACTGTCTACAACAGCAGTTATTCAGTCCCTGCATGATACGGGTTATATCCAAGAATATGGCCTGTGACCCAAGTATTTCATTGTTTCTCGTGCAAAGAATAGTGAGACACCCAGTACCATCAAAAGTACCAACAACCAGAGAAGAAGAAAATCTGCTCCTCCTCCAACCTCTCCGGCCTGGTCTGCTTCAGCTAAACGTGGAGCCGTGACTCAACGAAGTAAAAAAAATTACCCACAAACACTTGTGCCTGCAGGCGTCAAGTAGGGAGTCTTCTTCTTCAGCTTCTTGGACTGGTTGAACCGAGTGTAAGTTTTACACGTTCAGTTTGTCTGTAGTGACTTCTATCTTTGTTGTGTTTAACGATAAATCTCCATGTTGGTCCGTACACTACAGTATAATCTTTTTCCGTTTTAAACTAAAAACGAAACTGAAACACCGGCGCTACAGGGAAAACGCAACTTTTCAATGCTGACACCACCCGGCCGTCTGTGAGCCGATCTATTCACCAATCAATAAATGAGCACATCTTAGATGACTTTGACACTTTTAGTGTGACTTAGGAGAACTGTTCGTAAAATGCTTTGTGAATACGGGCCCTGACTTCAGCGTTCAGAAAACAAACTACACCATCTAGTGGACTGATATTAGAAGAACAGCAGCTGATGGGGATTTCCTCTGCCTCACACTGCTGCCTCACTGCATGTAACTGTCACTGATATGAAACAGAAAAGAAGAGCGAAGCCGTGGAGGAGCAGCTGCATTTTTGCAGGAGAAATGATGTGAAGGTTGATTTCAGTTGATGTGCAAATGAATGATTTGCGTTTCCTCTCCAGATAAGGGTAAAGAGTGTGTGTGAGCTGATGTGGATGTGAAGCAGCATGGATCAGTGTGCGGACAGAGAGGGGGAAGTCCCTCCCTCTAAAACCACTCTGTGTGGAGAACATGAGAGCCAGAAGAGATCTCAGAGGTGAGATGAGGATCTCTAACTTGACTACATGACTCTTTTCCACGTCAAAGCTCAGCACTCAGATCGCTGCACCATCATTATTCAAACCTCTGTGTGTATTGTGTTGCAGCCCAGTGCAGCAGTACACACCACACTCTGGTGGACCTGGACCTGGACCTGGACCCGAGCCTGGACCTGGACCCAGCTGTGTGTCCATAAAAAGCAACCAATCACTTAATCCTCCTCTTAATTTCAGACAATCTGTTGACAGTGGAAAGTAAGAATTTAAAATTGACCGAAAGGCATTTCATACAAAAGATTTTGTTGTGTTTATTAAAAGATTGAACACTCTTCATCAGTTCTGTTGTTTTTTCAGGGTCCAGCAGCAGAGACCAGGCTCTCCTGAACCCAGCTGTCTGACTTTAAAGAGCAACTGGTCAAAGGATATTATTACTGAGTTTAAGGGACAACATCCATCAGCTGCTCAGATGTAAGCTGTAACTGACAGTAAGACTCGGGTTATCCTAGAAGAGAACTAGTTTGTATGATGTGTTGTTCGACCTCATCTGAAATCAGTGTTTCTATTTGTTGTGAACATCCACACTGGAAGGTGGAGGTAAAACTCCCGCCGTCATAGAGAGGGGGGAGACGTGATGTGGCTTAAATATAGAGATAACTTCTCCCATGGTCAAACAGTCTCTCTTGGAAGACATTCATCGTGTTGACCTCAGTTGTTCATATGAGAGGTGACAGAATTAGTTGTGTGGCGAATGAAAACAGAGCTAAAAGAGAAGTTCAAACCCCTCCTACTTTCTCACGTCCAACCAGCTGAACAGTCACAGAGGGAGGTGGCTGTTTCAGACGCTGTTCAACCATCTGACAAACACCTCTGATGGAGTGAACTGATCCCTTAAAATGTTCCTGATTCAGGTTGGAACTGTCATTTACTTAGTGAACCTTTACTGGTTCGTTGCCATGTTTCATACTGGGAGCTGCCCAGTACAACCAGTCTGATACTGGAGTTGGAGCAGCTGCAGGGTCTAGCTGTCTTGCTGCAGGGCACATCAGCAGCGTTCAGTGAGGGAGGGTGGGTTGATGAAAGCTGTTGGGACTAAACCAAACTAAGCTAACACTGAGCTCAAAGCTAAGAGCAGCTGCAGACTGAGCTGTTGATTCTCAGTGTGATCATCAGGACTGGTAAACCTTTACCACTCATGAAACATGACTTCATGGACCTTTAGCTTGTGTCTTTCTTTGTGTGGACAGACATAGTGTGAGCTCATTGTTCATGATTGCTCCACAGAGTGGACCAGGAGATCTCAGAGGTTCCCAGTGGTCAGTCTGCCCAGCAGCATGAAACACACCTGGACTCCATATTTATGGTCTGTACATGTGCAACAACTACTTTTACATCCGTTCTGTTCACAATCATCTCATTGCTTCAAGTTTTCGACCTTTGGATTGTCAGTCTGTCTAACATGGATCTGACGTTTGCTTCATTTTTTGTTTGTGTTGATTTCTGTCCCAGCTGCTGGAGGAGAACATTGTTACTTTTGTGAAGGACGAGCTGAAGAAGCTGCAGAAGGTTCTTAGTCCAGAATTCTTAGAGAGTCAGACGGAGGATGAGGAGGTGTTGGACGGTGAGGATGAAGAGCAGAGGAGGAGCAGCAAAGAGGCATTTCTGAAGATCACACTGAACTTCCTGAGGAGAATGAAGCAGGAAGAGCTGGCTGACTCTCTGCAGAACAGTAAGAGGATTTCTACCCCCCCTCCAATATTTCTAAATGGTATTAATTCTGGTATTAAAGAGCGGAACACTTTCTCTTTTATCAACTCCTAGATCATAACAGAAGTTTCACCACTGCTCATTTTGTAAAGGCCACCACCAGAATCATAGATGTTTGTTTCTGGCTGCCAGTGGTTGTGGAAAGCAAACAATAGCTAACAGGGGAAAATAAAAGTGCCATCCTCTTCCAGTTTTAGTCGGGCAATGGCAGATACACTTACTTCAAGCCAATCAAGCCTTAATTTTTCTGTGAAATTTTGTACCCAGTGGCAGCCAGAATTGCATAGTGAAAGCTTAGATGGAATCATTATTCCTTAGCTATTATATTGTCCTATCAATGATAATGATAAATTAAAGCAACTTACTGACAGTGTTTCTTATTTGTTAATTCAGGAACTTCTGCTGAAATTTCTGGGCATTTTGCCCCTCTTTATCAACGTAAACTCAAATCTAAGCTGAAGGAGAAGTTCCAGTGTGTGTTTGAGGGGATTGGTAAAGCAGGGAACCCAACCCTTCTGAACCAGATCTACACAGAGCTCTACATCACAGAGGGAGGGACTGGAGAGGTCAACGATGAACATGAGGTCAGACAGATTGAAGCAGCATCCAGGAAACCAGCCAGACCAGAAACAACCATCAGACAAGAAGACATCTTTAAAGCCTCACCTGGAAGAAATGAACCAATCAGAACAGTGATGACAAAGGGAGTGGCTGGCATTGGGAAAACAGTCTTAACACAGAAGTTCACTCTGGACTGGGCTGAAGACAAAGCCAACCAGGACATACAGTTCACATTTCCATTCACCTTCAGAGAGCTGAATGTGCTGAAAGAGAAAAAGTTCAGCTTGGTGGAACTTGTTCATCACTTCTTTACTGAAACCAAAGAAGCAGGAATCTGCAGGTTTGAACAGTATCAGGTTGTGTTCATCTTTGATGGTCTGGATGAGTGTCGACTTCCTCTGGACTTCCACAACACTGAGATCCTGACTGATGTTACAGAGTCCACCTCAGTGGACGTGCTGCTGACAAACCTCATCAGGGGGAAACTGCTTCCCTCCGCTCGCCTCTGGATAACCACACGACCTGCAGTAGCCAATCAGATCCCTCCCGAGTGTGTTGACATGGTGACAGAGGTCAGAGGGTTCACTGACCCACAGAAGGAGGAGTACTTCAGGAAGAGGTTCACAGATCGCCAACTGGGCAACAAAATCATCTCCCACATCAAGACATCACGAAGCCTCCACATCATGTGCCACATCCCAGTCTTCTGCTGGATCACTGCTACAGTCCTGGGGGATGTGTTGAAAACCAGAGAGGGAGGTAAGCTGCCCAAGACCCTGACTGAGCTGTACATCCACTTCCTGGTGGTTCAGTCCAAACTGAGCAACATCAAGTATCATGGAAGATCTGAGACAGATCCACACTGGAGTCCAGAGAACAGGGAGATAATTGAGTCTCTGGGAAAACTGGCTTTTGAGCAGCTGCAGAAAGGAAACCTGATCTTCTATGAATCAGACCTGGCAGAGTGTGGCATCGATATCAGAGCAGCCTCAGTGTACTCAGGAGTGTTCACACAGATCTTTAAAGAGGAGAGAGGCCTGTACCAGGACAAGGTGTTCTGCTTCGTCCACCTGAGTGTTCAGGAGTTTCTGGCTGCTCTTCATGTCCATCTGACCTTCATCAACTCTGGAGTCAATCTGATGATGTCAGACGAACAATCTACCTCCAAAAAGTCTAAAGGAAAGGTTGAATGTACACAGACCCACTTCTACCAGAGAGCTGTGGACGAGGCCTTACAGAGTCCAAATGGACACCTAGACTTGTTCCTACGCTTCCTCCTGGGTCTTTCACTGCAGACCAATCAGAATCTACTACGAGGCCTGATGTCACAGACAGGAAGTCACTTACAGACCAATCAGGAAACAGTCCAGTACATCAAGAAGAAGATCGAAGAGACTCCCTCTCCAGAGCAAAGCATCAACCTGTTCCACTGTCTGAATGAACTGAATGATCAGTCTCTAGTGGAGCAGATCCAACAGTCCCTGAGTTCAGGAAGTCTGTCTACAGATAAACTGTCTCCTGCTCAATGGTCAGCTCTGGTCTTCATCTTACTGTCATCAGAAAAAGATCTGGAGGTGTTTGACCTGAAGAAATACTCTGGTTCAGAGGAGGCTCTTCTGAGGCTGCTGCCAGTGGTCAAAGCCTCTAACAAAGCTGTGTAAGTGTACAGATAGTTTAATTTATGGATCATCATATAAACACACCAATATCTTTTCAACAGAACAGAAAATAAAAAACTTTCATTCTTTATTATCATCTCTTCAGACTAAGTGGCTGTAACCTCTCAGAGAGAAGCTGTGAAGCTCTGTCCTCACTTCTCAGCTCCCAGTCACCTAGTCTGAAAGAGCTGGACCTGAGTAACAACAACCTGCAGGACTCAGGAGTGAAGCTATTGTCTGCTGGACTGCAGAGTCCACACTGTACACTGGAGGCTCTCAGGTCAGATCGAGTTACTGTGTGTTTTAAATGAGTGGACATATTCCTCAAGTTCAACAATGCTGATATTAAAGAGTATCATAGAGGTTAAACAGCCTCTCAGTAAAGATGTGGTCAGTTGTAGGTGTGGTAACCGTACACAACAAAGATGGAAACAGCTGTAACCATGGTGATTGTAGACAAGACAAGATAGATGGGAAACATCTGGAGCCTCAAAATGCTCAGACTTGCATGACTAAAAACTAAAAAAAATGGTAAATGGCTGCATTTTATATTTTATCCAAGGCACTTTACACATTGGCTCTCATTCACCCATTCACACACAGATGGCAGCGAGCTACCATACAAGGTGCTCATCTGGCCATCAGGAAATTTGAGTGTCAGGTTTTGCCCAAGGGCATATCACATGGGCAGCCCTGTGTTAATGGGTAAACCAATGAAACCTTATTTCCGTAAGTGGATACAGTCAACCTGTATGGATAGTGTAAAGTACATTTTAATAAATTTCAGCAGTGCTTTTCTAGACATATGATACTTTCCAGAGGATCTGCATTATTTTCTCTTTTTTTTGCTTTAGTTGTTGAATTAAACCATTGAACAAATGCAAATGTACTGGACCAAAATGGACCAGAGCAAAAAATAAGGAAATAAGCCTACTATCAAATGTTCATAGGGGTTTCTGTGTTTGTGTGTGTTTAGTCTGTAAGGCTGTCTGGTCACAGAGGAAGGCTGTGCTTTCTTGCCTCAGCTTGAGCTCAAACCCTCCCATCTGAAGAGCTGGACCTGAGCTACAATCATGCAGGAGACTCAGGAGTGAAGCTACTGTCTGCTGGACTGGAGGATCCAGACTGGAGCCTTGAAACTCTCAGGTATGGAGAGACACTGAACAGTTCTCTGTCTCAGCTGATGACCGATTCTTACAGAAGTGCGTTGCATTCACTGTCACATTTACGAGAAACGATCACAATTACGAAATCAGCTGTAATCTGGACCTGAGCAGGATTTCAGCTTTATTCTCACTATAAATGTTTACAAATTATTTCAGGCTGTATTCAGCAGCTGCAGCTGGTTTGACTGATCCTGAACAGATATAGTGACTTTGAGCGTGCAATGGTTCACAACAAACCCACAGACTTAAGATAACTGTTCAGGGTTAACACATTAATCACACTGATGACACATAATCTCCCAGTATCTTGAACCAAGGATATAAGAGGACAATAGAGAGTTAAATCACATCATGCCATCAAGTCACTTTCACTTTAATACTAAAAAAAATCTGAGGTTCAGATTGTGTCCTGTGTCCAGAGGAGGTCTAATGAACCCACAGCCACTGTAGTTTTCATTAAGGACTTTGTGGCCTCATCTTATTTGCTGTGACATTTGTTGTGCTGCTCAGAAAGAGACTGAAAGCTTGTGCCCCCCCCCCCCCCCCCCTTTCAGTCTTGAGCCTGGTGGAGTCCAGTGGTTGAGACCAGGTCTGAAGAAGTGTAAGTGTGTTTTTAATTTGATTCATGAAAACACTCATTCAGATCACTGATGTCCTGAGTCATGTCAGATGATAGATCAATAATGCAGCTGTTTGGTGTCTTGTTCTCTCCATCAGATTCCTGTGAACTCACAACTCGACACAACACACAATGAACACAGAGAAATCAAACTGTCTGACAACAAGAGGAAGGTGATACTTGTGAGGGAGGATCAGTCATATCCTGATCATCCAGACAGATTTGATGACTCCCTGGCCTCAGTGCTGTTGTAAAAATGGCTTTTACTGGTCGCTGCTGTTACTGGATGGAAGTTGAATTGTGTAGTGAGGTGTTTACATATCAGTGAGTTACAGGAGGAATCAAAAGGAAAGGAGACAGAGATGACAGTCATAGGTTTTGAAATAACAACCAGG